AACTGGAATCGACCCGAACACACAATAAGAGTACGAGTTGACAATGTTTCGCCGACTTCCGATGTTTACTGCCCACCGAGAAGGCACAGCCACGGAGGCTTTGCAGCAACACAGAGCGTGTTTATGGTAGAAGGTAAATTAAAGAAACCAGCTTACAAAACTATGTACCCTCAAACGAGCTACGTAAACTATGCATATAAAATACTGGAAATAAATACACCACAATTCTAGTTGTGTCAAGAGGATGGGATTGTGAGTAATTTTCTTCTCCATCTTCTCAACTTTCTGCAATGTGGTTATCGTTAAAAGTATATTGTAAACCTAAAAATTCAAAACAAAGAAACAATGGCTGGCTTTCCCGGGGCAGAGAGAGAACTCCTGACTGTCAAAACTCGTCCTGCAGGATCGCTGGGACGGCCTAGTTTAGATTTTTTTTTCTTTAATGAAAAAGTAATACACGTAGAAGGCAGAAAATGTTCAGTGCAGAAAGATCTACAAACACCACTATCTTAATGAAGCTGCCTTTGTCTTCTAATATTTCTCCATATTTACATATATTTTAACAAAGCCTAATATATATATAATTTTAACTTCTGCTTTCACCTTTATTTTGTTTAAAAAATGAGTACCTCTGTTGCAACAGTCTTTATATTTATAAATTTAAAGAGTTACATGATATTCCACAAAATATTCCATATATTTACTTAACTATTCCTCTATATTAGCCGCTAGTTATTCTGTTTCCATTTACGTTTGTGTTTCTATTATAAACCTCATGGCAATAAATATAATTGTACATAATGTACATATAGCTGTATATGATGGATATGTACAATCTTATAGCTTTCCTTTTATATCTGCAATAACAAACTAGAAAACATGAAGGAAAAAATATTCCATTCGGAATGACAATAAAAAATATAAAGTGCTTAGAACTAAAGAAGTAAGATGCAAGATCTGTACTTCAAAAAACTTCAGGGGCCGGCCCAGTGGCTCAGCGGTTAAGTTCACACATTCCCCTTCAGTGGCCCGGGGTTCGCCCGTTCAGATCCCAGATGTGGACATGGCACCACTTGTCATGCCATGCTGTGGTAGGCGTCCCACATATAAAGTAGAGGAAGAAGGGCACGGATGTTAGCTCAGGGCCAGTCTTCCTCAGCAAAAAGAGGATTGGCAGCAGTTAGCTCAGGGCTAATCTTCCTCAAGGAAAAAAAAAATTTAAAAATGAAAAAAATAAAAAACTTCAAAGTTTTAATAAAGCGTACAGTTCTCAAAGAAGAGGGAGTCATGGGTTGGGCATAATTCTCCAAAGCCCAGTATATCACACCCCTTGGCTGCCCAGTACCATCAGATACCCTTTCTCTCTGTGTCCAAACTGGCTTTTGCTCAACTCAACCCAACTATCTCACATACACCTACAAGCTTTAACTTTCCCCATCATCGGGGACCAAAGTCATGCTCAATATCACAGCCAGATGAAGTGGAATCAGGGCCACTGTTCTCAGTGTCCCCCGTCTCTAGGGGAACATCCTTTCCTCCTCTAATTCTGTAGCAATCCCAGTGTCAATCAGGACTCTTAGTTGCGAGCAATGGAAACCAACCCCAGCAGATGTAAATTGAAAGAAATGTATTGAAATGGTATTGGGCAGCCTGCAGAATTATCAGGAGTACTGCAGACCAAACGTAAAAGCTAGGCTGGACCAAGGACATCTGGAATAAAGCCAGGGCCACTGCCAAATTCAGGCCACAAAACCAGTCAGGTGATGTCACTGTCACCTGCCACTGTGCCACTCAACACCAGATGCCACAGCTTGCTCTGCTGCCAGCGCTGACCCCAGAAATTCCATGTTCTGGCTGCTGCTGCTTCTCACTGCCAACAAGGTGGATTCACCACCAACCCCGCTCCTCTCCATCACCAGCTCCCTCTGCAAAGGCTGGGGCGGTTCCGTGGGATTGGCTCGCCTCCGTCACCGCCAGCACCCGGGCTTTAGGGGAGGCTGATGTGGGAGAAGTGAGAGTTTAGTGTCTGCAGTGGAAGAAAGCAGTGGCTCCTGGTGCTGCTCTTACGTGAGAAATTCCTCAAACAAGGGATGGGTATCCATCAGAATCCCATTCGCTATTCTGCAACCTGGACTATTAGACACTTAAATATTGCCATTCCTAAGCAATACCTCAGGCTAACAGAAAGAGAAATGCACACTTGTCCTGGAACATACAAAAACCCAACAGTCTGTCCCATTCTCCACTGCTGGGCCCAGGCTGGGGGCGGGGCCAGGGGCCGGGCTGGCAGTTCTTACAGAACCTGATCAGAGCTCCCTCTTTTTGTCAAAACAAAATGACACTTGCTTCAACCACGTAGTGGCGGCTGCTGCTTCTTTTCTTTTTGGACCACGAGCTCCAATGCCTTCAATCTTTTCGACAATCACTTTTTCCAGTTCCACTGAACTACTCTAAGGACAGCCAGATATCGTGCCCCCCCTCCCCACCACCACCCCCCCCTTCCCCATGTCAGGATCTCATGACTTTTCTGTTTTCTGGACTTTTCTTTCCGTGGCACAGGAGCTTCAGTCTTCAAAGCAGAGCACATCTCCTCAAGAACTACGTCTTAATGTAAAAACAAATGATGGTGGTTTTATTTGAATTTGCCCTGGCAATCCTTCCTCAGATCCATAGAGCCTTCTGAGGTTCTAGGACGCCCTGGAGTGTTGCGTGCTCCCCGCCCCCTTCCTTCCCCGGTTCGAATGCCCATTTACAATATGCCAGACCACAGACACATAACGCCTCTTCCTCAGCCCTCTCTTTCTGACTGTGGGAGCCCGCTAGGGCTGCGTCACGAAGGACCACAGACCCCAGGGGCTTAAACAGCAGAAACTTAGTTCCTCACAGTCCTGGAAGCTGGAAGTTCAAGGTCAAGGTGTCGGCAGAGTTGGTGCCTTCTGAGGCCTCCCTCCTTGGCTTGGAGATGGCGTCTTCTCCCTGGGTCCTCACATGCTCGTCCCTCTGCGTGTGTCTGTGTCCTCATCTTCTCTTCTTATAAGGTCCCCAGTCCTATTGGATTGGGGACCACCCCAATGACCTCATTTTACCTTAGTCACCTCTTCAAAGGCCCTGTCTCCAAATACAGTCACATTCTGAGGTCCTGGGGGTGGGACTTCAACGTATGGACTTTGGGGGAACACATTCAGCCCATAACGCTAGCCAGCCACCTGCCACTGTGCTGGGTAGGGACTGCGGGGTGGCGATAAACGTGTGAGCTCAGGACTCAGGCGTGCCTGAGTGAAGCTGGCAGGTTCCTCTAGGATCCCGCTTCCCCTGCCGTGGAACAGGGTCCACACAGTGGGGAGGGCAGCCCTTCCTCACCGGCTGGCTGTGCATGTGAAATGAGATCAAAGGCCAGAGGCACGCGAGGGCACTGGACACGTGGAAATCAACATCTTCAGATGTCATAGGGGAGACAGAATAATGAGATGGGCCCCCAGTCAGGGACTTCCCTGGTCACCACCTGCCCTGAGGACATGGGCTTGTCGCTAGATGTGGAGGAGCCCCGTGAAGGCAAGGAGGGTGTCCGAGGTGCCCAGTATGGGTCACTCCATGCTCGTGTACTGTGAGAATGAACATGGCATTCAGGAGAGGCTTCATTTCGTGCCATGCTGCGTGGGAGGCACAGGGTCAAGAGCGCCAGAGTTTGGGAGAGATGTCTGCTGGAGGACTGGGGGAGCCCAGTGGGTCCCTATATTTTGTGTATGTGGCATAATTTGGAATCTCTAATTTTCGGCAGCCTAGGTGAAGGGACAGAATTCTTTTCACATTTGTCACACTAGTCACACGATTGCCCCTAGGACCTTCCTAGTGAGGAAAAGGCCCTAGTGCAGGAGTGGAGAGGGGACGTGAGTGGACCCAGGAGGGAGGAGCTTGGATCACAGCACCAGGCCAGCTCCCTGGCCAGCAGAGGGCAGTGCCCGGGAGTCACACTGGGCACCAGGGACTCACTGGGGTTTTGGGGCCAGCTGTGCCACTCCCTAAGCTGCCGTCTCCTCAGCTGTAATATGGAAGGGGAAAGCCCACGTCAGCAGTGGTGGCGATGCACAGCGTGACTCAAAGCCAGCTTTTCTCATCGTGCTGCACTGCTATGCTAGGAACACGGCTTTCTCCATCCATGCACTCAACAAGGATTTATCATGCACCAGAAACGTGCACACACAGTCCTTGTCCTCAGGGAGCTCACAGGCTGGTGGGCGGAGAGACAACCAATGCTTTAACAAAGAAATAAAGGAGTCTGAAGAAGGGGAAGTGTCACAAAGGGGATGGTATCTTGGTTGAGACCCAAAGGACAGGGAGGAGCCGGCTGAGCAAAGAGGCAGCAAGGTAGAAGAGGGAGTTTGGGTGTTCTAGGAGTCGTGCAAAGGCCCAGGGGCTCCTGCCAGTGAGCAAGGGGTGTGGGGCTGAGAAGCTGCTGGAGGGGTGAGCAGGGGCCACTGCCCTCAGGAAACCACCCAGGTGGATAGCAGCAGCACATGCAAGAACCACAGGAGGCTTGGCCTCCAGAGGCTGGGCAGCATCAAAGCCGTTTGTTTTTGACTTCGGGAAAAACAGTCCACGCACCCGACAACGATCTTTCAAACAAACGGAGAGCTATTTGTTATCGAGGAGATCAACCAGTTGTTCTGCTTCTCTGAGACGGGAGAAAGCTGGATTGTCACAACAGGACATAATGAATGACTTCCTGCTTGGAGCAGAATCCGAGGGGTGTGTGTCATCTTGCCCTGGCCCCCGGGTGTCAGAGGGTGGGGGGCTTCTCCTTTTCTTAATCCCCCAAATGGAACCTCTCTGAAGACCAGTCCCATCTTTTGCAAACTACAAACAAATGTGCTGTTCATCAGTTTCTTGACTCTTACATAAGGACCCCGAAGAAAATGGACAGAACTTAGCGCCACAAAGAACCTTTTCTCTCCTGACAAAATGGGAGGCTTTCTTGGGTCAGAAAACAAGAACTACATGAGTGATTATAATTTGATTGTTACTCTGGTTGCCAAGAAACTCAAGGTCAAGTTTAGGTGTAGTAATTATATCTCTCCAGGATTCTGGTACAATTAATCCTGTCTCAATTGTGTCCTGAAAAAAAAAATTAAAAATAACAAAATTTAGTCAAACAAAATTTAGGAAAGCATGCATTTTCATTCAGTTCCCTTTTGATCTTCAGCTACATGAAGACAGCTTCTACACAGCTGCAGTTCCCGTGTGGACCTGTAAGCTCACACTCAACTTGGTTTTCTATTTTTTTTTTCATAATAGTAGTTCGCAAAGATCCTATTTCTGCTTAGATATCCTATTCGGCCTGTTCAACAACAGCACGATATTCCCCTGACTCACTGAACGTTGATACAGGTCATCCCGTCGTACATACCGTGAAGAGGCTACTGTTGGGCATGGCATGCTTTTCTAGATTTTCACTGTAATAAATAATTCTGCTATTACCAGAATAAATCAGTACAGCCTAGGAAAGATGTCACAAAAGGAGGAATAAAAACGGCTAATAAGCACATGAAAAATATTCAACCTCTATGATGATTAAAGACATACGCTGAAACAAGAAGACGCCTGTTTCTTTTGCCTGTGGACGTAGCCCAGATTAGACAAAGATGGTACTCAATGCCGGAGAGGAGGAGAGACGTGCTGCCCGGCTCATGTCTCTCCCCAGGGATGCGAATCAGTCCTTTCCTGGGGGCAGCAAATGCCGTTCTGGTGCATCCGCGCTCGCAGCTGAGCTGAGAGCACCCAGGTCTCATGGCAGCATGATTTAGAACCTCCCCTCCCCACAAACTTAATCGGCTTAAATGCCCACTAACAGGAGAGTGGTTAAGGAAATGTATACACAACTTCCACACTGTTCCCTCACTAGATGCGTAATGCAGATTTCTAATAAGATGGGGAAACGTTTGTGCTATAACGTTCAGTGAAATGCACAGCTACTCTCAGACAAGCCGGGGGCCTGGGCGTCAGATGGCCTGGATTCAAATGCCAGAGCTGCCACTCACTAGCCACGAGGATCTGACCCATGACCTCACCTATCTGAGCCTTGATTTCCTCATCTGCAGAACGAGAGTACTGGAGCCTCCAAGAGCTGTCGTGAGTATTAAGGAAATAGTGTGCGGGCACAGGCTACCTGGGCACGCACTCCAACTTCTCTTTCCTCTAACCTATTCTCAAAAGGCACCAGTAACCTCCCTGGGCTGCCCAGGGTCTCTGGTGCCTCCACACCTTTGCAGATGCTATTCCCTCAGCCCAGGAAACTCTTCTGCTTATCTTTCAAGGGCCAGTCCCATGTCACCTCTTCTGGGGGCCCTCCTTAACCTGGGAGGCAGTTAGCAAGCACCTCCTTTCCTGAGCTTTTCTGGGCTCTCTGCAAACCTCAAACTTGCCAGGCATCCTGTGGGAAGATTTTGTTTCTTAATTTGTTTTCGAGGAAGATTAGCCCTGAGCTAACTGCTGCCAATCCTCCTCTTTTTGCTGAGGAAGACTGGTCCTGAGCTGACATCCATGCCCATCTTCCTCTACTTTATATGCGGGATGCCTACCACAGCATGGTGTGCCAAGCAGTGCCATGTCTGCACCCGGGATCTGAACCGGTGAACCCTGGGCCGCCGAAGTGGAACATGTGCACTTAACTGCTGTGCCACCCGGCTGACCCCTAAGTTTTTTGTCTTTGATTTTTGTATCTAGCATTCATTCAGAAAATGGCACTTATCGTAAGTGGATAGCTTAATACATTTTCACAAACTGAATCCAACTTTGTAACCACTATGCAGACTAAAAATCAGATCATAACAGCCCCTGAGAAAGCGTCTGTGTACCCCGCCCCCCCATGTCCCCCTCCCCCGGTCACTAATCCACCTCAAGGGTCATCACAGTCCAGACTTCTATTCTAACTTGTTCTTGTCCTTCATATGGACAGAATCACGCAGTTGGCATTCTTTACTGTCTGGCTCTATTGTCACGTTGTGTCTGTGACAGCCATCCTGGCAGCTGCATGAATTGTGGAGCACTCACTTTTCAGAGCTGTGTAGTGCTCCAAGGTGTGACTACCCAGCAGTGTCTCCATTCTACTGTTGGTGAGGTTGGGCAGTTCCAGCTGGCAGCTCTCGTCAACAGTGCTGCTATGAACACTCCGGTACCAAGTCTCTCTCCTTCGGTGTGTGCATGCACATGTACGCGGTTCTGCTGGGTGTCAACCTGGGAGTGCAATTGCTGGGTTGGGATCCACACATTCAGTAAATGGTGTTCCTATGGGTCTTATTCAGCATCTTCACCTGCATTAGTTTGGTTTTCAGTTCTTCAATAAATCCTTTGATGGTTCCAACAGACTAATGCATCCTCAAGCACCGCTGACTGGTCGCAGTCATGAATTCCTACACAAAGAAGTGGCTCTTACAAACCCAGCTCGAAGGCTGCTTCCTGTCCGGCAAAACGAACCTCTCCCGGGCTCGTCACATTTCACAGGTGTTGGGATGTCGGCTCGAGTCTGCATCGCTGCCCGGACGGACGGGCAGTCCCCTGAGGGCACAGCCAGGTGACGGCCTGGAGCACGCCTGCCTGGGGTCGGCCACCGACCTGCGGAGCCCGGGCAACCCGCGCGCGAAGGGCGGCGGAAGGCGGGAAACCAGCAGGGAGTGGGTGCAGGGCTTTGCCTGCGTGGCCGCGTCCTGCAGGGAGGCCCCGAGAGGACACCGCCCTTATTCCCCCAAAAGGCGCCTCCGACCCTCGGGACGCCCCGCTGCCTGAGTTCGGGCCCCCGCCCGTTCCGCGGAGACGGGCGGAGCTAACCTTTGGTACCCAGCCCGCCGCGCGCCGGCGCTGGGGACGGGATCGGTTTTCACTCGCGCGGGAGGGGGAGATGAGGGGTGGTCGCGGTGGGCTGCCTCCCGCCCGAATGCGCCCCCCTTCTCTGGCCCCCACCCGGGAGAAGTTTGGGGTCCCTGCTCCCACCCCCTAGCCGTGGGCCGCGCGCCCCTCGGGGCCGGGGTGCCGGGAGGGAGGGGGCGCCAGCTGTCCCGACGGGGGGCGGCCCGGAGAGAGGGGACGGGCGCCCGCGGCCCCGCCTCCACCGCGCCCTCCCCCGCGCCCTCCTCCGGGGCGGGATAATTGAACCGCGTGGCCGGGGCCGAGCGTTGGCCGCGGAGGCTCGGCCGGAGCGTGGAGCCCGCGCTGCCCGCCCGCCAGCCCGTCAGCCCGCCAGCCCGCGCCTTTGTCCGTCCGCCGCCCGCCGGCCCCATGGAGCGCGCCCCGCCGTCGCCCCGGCTCCCGCTGCCGCTGCTGCTTCTCGGCGGCCTCTCGCTGCTGGCGGCCCGAGGTAGGGGCGCGGGGGGCGGGCCGGGAGGGAGAGGGTGCCCCGAGTCCCCGGCCCCCTCTGTAGGGTCTCCCCCGACCGCCCAGCCCCGCGCTCCCTGGGAGTTCTGGAGCGCTGGGCACTCGGAGCCCGCGCGCCGCCCCGGCCCGGCCCCGGCGACGATCCCTCCCCCTCACCCCACTCCTAGCTCCGGTCCTCATCCCCTCGCTGGCTTGGAGGCTGGTTTTAAAGACGGGATCCCCCTCAAACACACCCCGCTGCAGGCCCACTCACACCCATGCTGTCCATCCTAGGCCTACCCAAGTTGGGGGGGGGGGGGCTGTGGCCGAGTCCCCTGCCGCCGTGCTCTTTGCACGGGGGGCGCCGCTGGCACACCCGGTCTCACTGCCCACCTCCAACCCTAGAGAGGGGCTGTGGTACCCAGCTTGCTGATGAGAAAACTGAGACTGAGAGGTGGGGAGCAGTAATTTGCCCAGGAGACAAAACCAGTCAAGGAGTAGAGGGTGGACACGAAGAAAGCAGAAAGGAAAGGAACAGTCTGGAGATTTTCAGGCAGATGGTGTGTGGGGAAACCCCTGCCTGCCCTCCTGGGACACAGAGGGCCCCGAGGCAGAGGTTCTGCCCAGCGCCATACTTAGCTGGGGCTGGAAACAGGCCACTTCAAAACCCACCAGCCCTGCAGCTAGGGGGCCGGAGTCCCCACTAGCGGACCCATGGGCCAGAGCGCCCAGCCCCGAGGCTGACAGCGCCTGGCCGGCCAGCACTCAGCTGCACCCTTCTTTCTCCCCTAATCCTCAAGCCCTTGCTCCCCGGGGGTGACACCGGGTGCTGCCGATGAGAGCAGCTGCGGGTGAGCAGAGCACTGACCTCTGATCTCTCTGCTGACCCGAGGCTCGTCAGTCATTAGCCAGGCCCGCCCTCTGGGAGGCTTTGTTCCTCCTGTGACCAGGCGCAGACCAGAGCCCCGGCCACCCTCGGATCCCAGATTCTTTATCTCTGGCTTAGCTGAGTTTCTTTTTAAACTCTCCAGTGACCACCCTCCTTCTTGGTCAAAAGGTCACTTGTCTCAGCTAAAACGTGCTGGGGGATTCAGGGAGCGGCTGTTGGGGGGGGGGGGGAGCTGTGCAGAGGTTTCTCGGCTCACTTGCTGGGGGATTCAGGGAGCGGCTGTTGGGGGGGGAGCTGTGCAGAGGTTTCTCGGCTCACTTGCTGGCTGCAACAGACCTTTGTGGGCTCTGGGTGTTGCCGCCGCCGGCTCTGTCCTGGGCACGTCCCGGGGATGTCTCGTGGGGCGAGGCTCAGGGCTCAGTGTTGGCGGAAGAGCCGTCCCAGCCCCCTGGGCTCACGGGAGGCTTTTAGAGGAGATGGTGCTTGGGCAGGACCTGATCAGCCGGGCAAGGAGCAAAGACATTCAGGTGACCACTGGCTGGAGTGAAGGCCCAGAGGGGGCTCAGATTGGGGGCCACACAAGACTCTTGTTGGAAATGGAAGGGGCCCCTGAGAGGCCTGTATTTTACAGATAAGGACTCTGAGGCCCAGAGAGAGGGCATAGTTGACCTCTCCTGAGCCCCACCCCAGACCCTCCATCGTTGTTCTTGTCTGCCTTCTGTGTGAGGACGTTCGCCCGCGGCCTGGCAGCGCCCGACTTTGAAGGAACACGCAGGACCGGCTGGGCTGGAGAGCCGCACAGCCGCCCTTCTCCAGAGAGAGTCCTAACTTGAAGCGTGTAAAAGAAACCTCTTCGTTGCACACTTCGTTGAGAACACCTGGATCATCTGTGGCCTTTGGTGCTTTGGGGAGGTCCCTCTTTTGAGTTTCAACAAGTTTGCTATGGTTGGGAGGGGGGGCTGGGAGCCCACCCAGTCCCTCTGTGCGGCTGCGAGCTCGGCAGCTGTCAGTTTCCCTGAAGTCCTGTGGGGCTGTGCGCGGTGACACTGTGCCCACTCTCCAGAGAGCAGTGGGGTCCGTGAGGATACATGCAATTTAAAAGTGACCATGGGGAAGGCCATCAAGGGTGAGCCCGTTAGCTAATCTGCTGAAACTCATTTGGTGACCTGGTCACTGAAATGCAGAATGCTCTTTCGTGGAGCCACCGATCTGTCCTGTTTTGTCTGTCCTGTTGGGCTTTACTGAGAGCGGGGGTGGGAGGGAGTGGAGAGGAAGAGGGTGTTGGGAAAGACGACTGTGTTTTCTCTAAGACTTTCTTGGCCTCTGGCTCCAGCGGGCAGTGTTTCCGACTGATTACAGAGAAAGTCGGAGAACAAAGGCCAAGAGGACTTGGCTTGGAAACATGTGGCCTGCACCGCTGCCGCTCCTGGAAGTTTCCCAGTCGGGTGGCGGGGGCCAGACAGGCCGAGGGGGGCTGCTGGAGCACCAGATGCATGAAGACGAGACTCAGGGGGCAGCACCGGGGCTTCGGGGCCCACAGCTCTGGTCACCCCTCCCTCCTGGCCCTGCCCCGGGTCCGCCAACTTCGGGCTGCGTTTGCCGCCCCTGCTGGACTGCGGTGTGGGTGGGGGGTGGAGGCGGAGACCATGGCTCAGGCATCTTCGGTCCTAGTGTTTGCAGGATGGAAAACAACTCTGCGTGTCATGCCTCAGAAAAAGCCCTTGGGATGGTTTGGTGGTTTTCTCATTTGTAAAACAGAGGTAACAGAAACGATTTCTTAGGCTGGCTTGAGGATGGAGGGAGAGAACACAGGACGGTGCCTGCCATGGTAGCTGTACTGTTAGAATCTGTTATTTGTTCTGTCCCCTTCCCTGGGCTAGAACAGTATCCTTTTCCCCAAGATTGCTTTGAAAGTTCCACTAACACTGAATTTCCTCAGCCAGGAGCTGGGAAGGAGGCCCAAGCGGGTGACGGAACCTTTAGCCGTTAAGTGCCAAAGCTGCATTGGTAACGGTCGTGCAGAGTGGCCTCAGCTGGCCTCCTTGGGCATGCAGTCATTCATACGCTAAAGATCTGCTGAGGGCCAGCTCTGTGCCTGACGCTGTTCTAGGTCTTGGGGGTATGGCAGGGAAGAAGAGAGACCCGGCCCTTCCGCCCATGGGCCTCACGTTCCCCGGGAGGTCCAGAAAAGTGAACAGACAATTACAAAGCAACCCTGACTGGCAGAGAGTGAGGGAAGCCTTCCTGGAGGAAGCAGCACGCAAGCTGGCATGTGAAGGAGCCGGAGTTGGCTAGGTTTGTGGGTAGGGCTGGGAGGAGGGTGGGGAGGGTGTTCCAGGCAGCAGGAACAGCATGGGCAAAAGCCCGGAAGGTGCAAGAGAACATGGGAGCTTCCGGGAGTTGTGCCCCCCTTCATGCTTGGGGAAGACCACAGTACATCTCCAGCAGCCTCCCCTCCTCCCCGCCCCCCGTTCCTTTGAGGGCGGGGCTCTGTGAGCAGTGGGCACAGGGGCTGGGGCAGCTTTGCAGGTAAAGTTTTATGAAAACAGCCCTAATAGGGTGCACAATTATTTTGCCAGTGTATTTTATACAATAAAAGATTTTCCTTTTGGAAAGCATCAAATTATAACAATTTGATTAATAAGTGCTTTTGCAGGCTCCATGTGGTTCCAATTTCCTTGTAATGATCGATTGCAAATGTGGCCACATAACAAAATGTGGGGAGGAGGACACCAATATGTTGACTTTTCTGGGATCAGAGACTATTCAGCTTGGAGAGAGCTCGGAGACCCCGTGTCACCCAGCTTGTAGCCGGCACGGCGGGCCCCGAGGCTGGGCTCTGCGGCCAGTGCTCCTCCTTTCACCCCAGGCTGGTCCTGCCAGAGGCTGGGTCAGGAGGGAGCCAGGTGCCTGCTGCTCCAGCTGCCTGCGTGTCATCAGGAGGGTCCTACGTGCTGGGGCCAGCACTGGAAGGGGGTCAGGAGACTGCTCCCAATTCTGAAAGTGACTCGAGAGCTTGACCAGCTCCCGTACCCTCTGCGTCTGTTTCCTTAAATATGGAATGAGAACGCGCTCTGCTCTAGGAAATGATTATAATTGAAAGCTCTTACATTTCGTCACTAATTTGATTCTCTCAACAACCCTGTGAAGTAGGTACTGTTATTATTTCCTTTTTACAGGCATGTAAACTCAGGCCCAGAGCAGTTACATAACTTGCCCAGGACACACGGTAGTGAACAGAGGACCAGGACATGGGACCCCTGCTCCTGACCTCTGGCTGGACAGTGCTTTAACCCCGTGAGCGAGCGTTGTGCACTCCAGGGTGTCCTTAGGAAGAGCAGGCACTTTCCACACCCGGGGGAGATCATAGAAGCCGGGGCCACAGGCCAGGCCCTTGAGGGACTCACTGCCAGCTGGACAGGAGGTGACCACCAAGGTGATGGCACCCGCCGTGGTCGGGATCAGTGGGTGAGCCTGTCCTGTGCTGGTGGCAGGGCGGCTTGCTGAGGCGTCGAGCCCGGGGTCTGGCCTGGCCCTGCCTCTCGCCCGGGTGTGGCCCCAGCCAGGGCCTTCTCGCTGCCTTCTGGAGTGGGGCTCAGGAGGCTGGCAGGGCAGGGGGAGGTGGTGCATGTGGGGGCGCAGCGGGGATGCAGGGACGGCTGGCTCTGGCCACTGGGAGAAGTCTGGAACTGCTGGAGGGGAAGAGGGTCACCCCTTTCCTGGAGCCTCTATAAAGGAAAGTGCTCTTGGCTGGCCCTGGGTCCCGCGCC